GCGCGGGGGGGGGGGGGGGTGTCGTTATGGTTGATTGGGTCTGCGGGAGTTTGGGCGGGAGTTTTGAGACTGCGGCTCCACCTCACGACACTACTGCGCAGACTCTGGCTCCAAATGACGTCATTTACTCAAAATGTCAGCGGCCATACTGATATGCTTTGGCTTCACTTTTCTATAGTGGAAGGAATATTTTGAATACTCAAAACTAGCCCCATCTCATTTCGAGGGGGTTTCCGGTAAAAAAAAAATTTGCCTTCCCGGGTTAAAATACACGTCTTTCGGCGGGGTTCCTCCAGTAAAATTCTCATGCGTTAAGGGGCGGTCACACTGCACTTTCCGTTCCATTGACTTCCATACATACGCATGCGACTGCGTAAGACCGGAAAACCTACAGCACTTAAAGCACAGTACTTGAAAATGTAATATATATATGTAGTCAAAATAATATTTATTCAGACACCTTGAACATTTCATTCATTAATACAGTTTATTCACTATAGTTTAAAAAAATGGTAATAAAATGACGGAGCTGAAAGTAGTGCTTGTGGCGATCCTCATCCAGCCGAAGCTCCTGAATTAAAGAATGGAACTGTCCCGCTCATTCCCAGTCAGTAGAATCAGGTGAACCCACAGCCTTCTGCTTTCCAGACGCTTTCAATGCCGTCGCAAAAGACACAGTACAAGCACATCGGAATCCATGTTGTAATAACTGAGGGGAAACCTTGGCACTAACATCACAAGATTACAAAAGACGGCTGCTAAATAAAATTTTTAGTGGCGTAAGTGGTAAAGCGGGTAGTGTAGTGTTTTTGACACGAGTGACCTGAGTTCGTATCCGCCTTTTGCCGAAATCGTTCTTCTCCCTTTTCACATTTCATATCACATCGGAAGGCATTTGTTTTTTAATAAAAATACAAATGATGGAAATATTAGCTGAATTAGAGAGGTAAAAGTGGGTGGGTCCTGTCTAGGGTTGCCAACCGTCCCGTATTAGCCGGGACGTCCCGTGTTTTTGGGCCTAATTGATTTGTCCCGTACGTGACTTCCCTTCACGCTCATCTAACCACTGAATGATACAACAGCAGTTGTGCTGATCACTTGAGAATGATCACATACCTGTCATCATCCAATCACAGCACCCCTCACGCAGTATGCATTAAGTAAATCAGAAATCGTGAACATAAAGGCCAAAGAGTATAGAAGACCAAGAGGCGAAACTCAGTAGAACATTCCATTGCAACAGTGGCACCCAGCAGCAGCCCTGCGCTTCCGCCATTTCGGAGTGAAAGCGACTCGGCACTGCAGTCCACTAGCTTCTAGCTGCAGCTATGGCAAATATCAACTGCTTTGTTTTAAAAACCGTACATTAAAGCTGAAATACAGACTGAATGATGACAACAATAACGTACAATCACTAGACTAGTGATCATCAAATCCTTTTAACAGTTTATTTTACAGACTTTATTTTAAAGTCTTCCCTTTTTTCACAAAACCTTTTGCTCTCTAGAACCCATGTCAGCTTCGGTTGAAAATATTTTAAAGGGGTGGTTCACAGGTTATTTTATAAGCTTGATTGTGTTTATGGGGTGCAGTCTAACATGTGTTAATGCTTAGTTTTTAAAAAAACACACAAATTATGTTATTTTTCACATAATTTACCTTTATTCCACCCTGCTCTGTCTCTTCTCTGAGAAACGGGCTGATTACGAGTCCCTCCCTCAGAAATACGTGATGAGCTCTGATTGGTTAGCTAGCCCAGTGTGTTGTGATTGGCTAAACCGCCTCTAGTGCACGTCTAAACGTCCTGCCCCTCAGCTCAGCGGCATGTGCTCCGGTTGTATTGTAAACAATATCATCATCTATTGAGCTTTTCCACTGCATGGTACGGCACGGCTCGGCACGGCTCGGCACGGCACGGTTTGCGTTTCCACTGCAGTTTAGTATCGTTTTAGAGTGGGCGGGATTATTCACATGTCATTATAGTTGCGCCGCCTCTGCTGCCGCGACTCCTTTTTCATTCCGCGTCGCCCCATTAAGCTCTCGCTGGATCCGCTCCTCTGCTATCAACGAGAAGAACGTCTGTTCTTCCGCAACAGACAACAAAACTTTTTGGTTGTTAAAAAAAGGTGCGCTCGTTCAAAACAGTTGCGTTCGATCCTTCGCTGGCTGTGCTGATTTAAATCTAGCGGTTCTGTTGTGTTTGTGTCGCAAGTTCAGTGACGCAGGTAGTGACGATTCTCTCCGGCCAATCCGTGATCAGCAGAGTTTACACGTCACGTTTTGGTAACGGTACGGTTCGCTTGGAACCCCAACCGAGGTGGTACTAAAAAAGTACCAGGTACCAGGTACTTTACCCAGTGGAAAACCCCCCAAAAGTGAACCGTACCGAGCCGTACCGTGCCGTACCATGCAGTGGAAAAGCGCCATTTGTAAAGGCTGAGGAATCCTCTGCTGGCTCCCGCCTCACAGCAAGCGCCGCTCGCACTAACGCCAACTCCGTCATGTTTTGACTTCAGAAAATCAGTTTTAGTGAATCCAAACGTGATTATTTTTCATGAGTCCAACATCCCACCGCGCAAGAGACATGATCAGAAAGGGAAGTCGTCTTTTTTTGTAATGTTGTTAAATAGAGAAAAGCATTTAATATTTACGTAACTAATATTACTAGTATAATTCTTAACCTTGGACCTTATTTTTGAAACACAATATTACGAATAAAAAGGTGTCAAGTACCAAAAGCAGCCCATATTAAATCTATAAGCTGACTTTAATTGAAAGATACGCATTTTCATGCATACTATATATATATATATATATATGTGTGTGTGTGTGTTTGTGTATACACGGTCACCCCCCCCCCCCCCCCCCCCCCTCTTTCTTTTTTTTTTTTTTTTTGGTGTGTGTGCGTGTGCGTGTGTGTATTCGCACACACACTGCTCCTGCTCCCGTGTGAATGCACTCATTTGTTAACATGCACGTGGAAAAAAAAAATGCGCTGCTCACGCCTTGTGTTCACTTTTTACATCCAACTACATAACACCTGCATTGCTTACGAGACATTGTTGTCGTTACAGATGCTCGAGCACGGAGAAAATAGCAGACAGAGTACAACTGGCTGAGGGTGGAGATATGCTAGTATGACAGTCCATCAGTGGTCGTAGGCGGGGCAAGCTGAGTGTTCTGTATTTTCATTCTCTGAAGTTGGCAACCCTAGTCCTGTCCCACCCACACACAATGGTTCCGATGGCCATGATCTCAGTGTGGAAAGGTCTTAACTCGGTCAATATTAAAGATATCAATGGAATATTTTCACAGAATATCCGTTACATTATGTTGGATGATTTTATGTAGAAAACAGTGAATCACAAAAAAATTACTTTAGCTGGGTTTTTTACAGAGCGGGTCACATTTGTCTTTGTGTACAGTAGCCTAGCAATTATTCGGCAAAGTTAACAGTTTCACTTTCTTGTTTTTATATATTTTACAAGCACAATTATATTGTGATATTTTAGATAAAACAGTATGATATTATAATTTGACTAATTTAAATGACTTTGTAACTTTTTTGTGTATATTACACCTGACACTGTCTCCTAAAGAATAGGGAACCGGAGCGTGGAGACCTCATTGAAATCTCTAGAAAAGGATATCAGCACTGGGCAATTTATGTTGGAGATGGATATGTGCTTCACCTGGTCAAAATCTGTGAGTTTTTTGTTTCGTTTGTTTGTTTGTTTTTACATGACTACTAAGCTAAACTTGTATTGAATCTGACACTTTCCATTTGAGTCATGATTGTTTTTACTTTTCCATTTCTTTCTCTACAGCTGAGCATGGTGACTCAGGGACCAGCTGTGCGAAGCCAGGGAAAGATGGCAGGGCCACAGTGAAGAAAGAAAAACTTGAGGATGTGGCTAACAATGATGAATACCGTATCAACAATCGTCTGGATAACCAATATGAGCCACGTCCCATTAAAGATATTCTACAGGATGCAGAAAATCTTGTGGGAAGGGAATTTCCATATAATGTGTTATCAAGCAACTGTGAGCACTTTGCTACGCTGGTGAGATACGGAAATCCACTATCCCAGCAGGTACAGTTGTTCGGCATGACCTCGCATACATAATTATATTGTACTCATAAATGTCTCAAAATCACTGAATTACAGACTGTATTAAGCCAAAATGTTTAAAATTATTTTATTATTAGGATTAAATTCACAATAGCAACAAGTTTTCACACAGTGATGTAAAAATACCTTCTGTTTATTCTTATAGGTGCAAGATCTTGCTGCTTCAGCGGTTGTCTTTGGAATCCTTGCTATGGCAACTTATAGAAAAAAATAGCATCAGAATCAGTAAGCATGAGAATGGGAAATGAAGAAATAAAAGTAAAGTTGTGGAGGCTTTTGATTCTTTAAAGTCAGTAAATGTGTGGTTCACTTTATTACATTTAAAAATCATTTAAATAAACATCCTTACTGGCACTTGTATCCTTGCTTTTATTCATTTTATTGTTTCAAAATTCAAAAGACAATGAGAAGCACACACAATGAACAGTGGGAAATGAAGAACTAAAAGTACAGTTGTGGAGGCATTTGATTATTCAAAGTATGAATAAATAATTTAAATAAACAGCTAAACTTAAAGCTGCAGTCCGTAACTTTTTTTTGGTTAAAAATGATCCGAAATCAATATATGAGCAAGTACATAACAGCCAGTGTTGGAAACTATCGCCTTACTTTAGCCCGATTCACAACGGTTAGCTTATAATAATGTTTTCTAGTTTGAGTGGTACAGGTAGGTTCTCGCAGGAAATTCGAGCATGCCGCTGTGTCATTATATCACGTCTGTAAACATAAAGAAGTAGTCCCGGCTACTAGGCTATCACATGTGAGGATCCTGCAGGTGGCGGATCGTTTATAGCCTTTTCTCACAGCAGCTGGAATAATTAAATGTATCATTTTGATGGCGGATTATAATCCATAAAGGATTATGTGTTTATGAAACACATGTGAATGAAATTAAATTATATTCCAGTTATAAATGTGCTTCTGATTACAGATAGCATGGGATTACACACGATTTGTATTTTAAAGAAAACCAGTTCGAAGGGAGCTTAGTTAGCTTTTTGGGTTAAAATAATTTCTTAATATGAAATTCGAATGGTATAAAAAAATTATAGATTAGACTGTGCTGAACTGAACTGAAACATGGTAATACATACTAATAGTAACGCAATGCGGATTGTTGTTAACATTACTAATTTGAGAATAAAGTATAACAAAAATAATAATTTGAACGGTTTGATGTGAAATGAGCTAAGTGATTGTTAGATTTAATCACCATTAGAAGTGTGATTTATTGTAATGCTTTTTTCCTCAGTTGGCCAGAACAAACGTGGCAGACTTGTTATTTGGGTAAATATTTGGGTAATTTTCCAAGACGTAGCTAGAATCTGTGATTGCGAAGTACAGTAAATATCCACACTGACTGCCACACATACTCTTCAGAACATTAGATTCATGCTGGAGCAAGGAAGATAATTCTGCAAACAGCTGCAATTGCAGGTTTTCAAACAGAGATGGCGACAAAGAGGCAAAACTTACGGACTGCAGCTTTAAATGTAAGTATAGACACAAGTCCAAGCACCAGTGATCCATGTGTCTCATTGATCTCATTGATTTACATTACAAGCATCAGAATTGTATCATAAATATCAGCATCTGCAGCAAATTGTAAAATACATTACCAAGAATAGGACCGAATCAGGACCGCAAGATGGGTGCTTCCATGCAGGTCGTGAAGGCTTTTGACATAATGAAATAAATAAATACCAAAGGCTAATTTCTAATAAATCAAAGTTATAGCTATCAAGCACATCAAGGTCAGCATTAGAGCCGTTTGGGTGATGAGAGCAGAGAGCGGAACGCTGCATGCATGCAGACAGATTAAACTTTCAGTGAGTGAAAAACAATGGCATTTTCAAAAAAAAAGTTGACGGGTCCTTAAAAAGTCTTAAATGGTACAAGAAAGTTTTAATTATGATTTCAGGCGGTCTTAAATGTGGGGACTGAAAGATGAGAATTGCGATTAAACTTCAAAAGGCTATTCATTGAATAAACATGCGCTGCACGTTTCAAAGTCAGCTGCTGTGCTGCTTTGTGGAGTCTGTCTCTTGGGCTTTGTGCACTGCCGTTCTGAAAGCGCCACCTGCTGGAAGAGAATGATTTTCCATTTTCAATCAGCTGAACCTCTGCTGTTGTCAAAGACCAATGTGAAAATCAACCCATGTTTTTAAGCACCAAACTCGAAGAGTTGTAAATGTGAACTGGTGGATCTACATGAAGATAATGTACATTATAAAATGTAAACACTTAATACAGTAAAATATATTTATATGTTATTTAATTAATATAATATTTAATTGATAATAAGGGTGTACTTACACTAGGCACGGTTGCCCTGAACCGAGCCCGCAATATCGAATATCACAATTTCGAACTCAACCTGCTGGCCTGCACTCACACTTGCACTAAACATTCCGGGCCGGAGCACGCTTACGTCATGCATGAGATAATATAGAAAACCACTTTCACTAATATTCTGCCGAAAAATTAATAATAATTAATTTATAATTTATGTTTACCCATTCTCACTCCAAAGGCGTCAAAAACCAAAGCATGGTCAAGCGCCCTTAGCGTCACTATGAAGACGCCAAAGGTGCCCCTCGGCGTCACTATATCGACGAACTGGGACCTACATTGCTTTCAATGGGAAACTTTTAGCGTCAGGGCACGAGAATGATGATCGCTATGAAATCACGTTCAAGAAGTCTCATTCAGCACACATCGCGATATTTGCCATCAGTTTACGTGTGCCACAGGTTGGGTGAGTAGTCATAAATACGCTGTCTTAATGTCTGTTATAAAATGTATTCTGCCTTTTTTATTAATCATATTAGCGCCGTATGTTTATTCGCTGTATTATGTCGGCCATCCGAGGCTGTTTTTGAGTTTCATTGCGTTTAACTAAATGAACACACCTGCTAACTGAGGTGATTAAACGCTATCTGCCACGTGACTTGCCATAGACATTGGATCAGTTTTATATTCATATCAGGTTCAAAGCTGTAAGTTGTATCTGTAGTAAAAGCATGGTAACCGCAATACTTACAATAGTAACTGTAGTTTTACTGTGAAATTTGAAGTTAAAACAGGACATTTACCATGTTTTTACCACAGTAACTGTAGTTTTACTGTGAAATGTATAGTAATAGCACAGTAATCACCAAACGTATTATGGTTGTACCACTGTAATGGTAGTTTTGATGTGCTTTTATGACAGTAATCACAACATTTACTATACTATAGCTTCTAATACCTTTTAATGTAAAAAAAATTAAATTAAAAAAATTAAATTTTTTTTGCAGTTCATTCATATCAGTTTATATCTTAAATATTTTGCTCACAGGTCATTATTAACATTCTGTATATAGTTCTATTTAATTTTCTCTCCCTTTTTATATTATTATTATTTTTAACTAAAAAGACGTAAAGGAAGCAGTCAGCCCAGTCGTGTTTGTGGAGAGGTATTCCTTCAGAAACGGAGAAGACGGAAAGCTGCAGAGGCAGACATTTGCAGAGGTAGGTCTGTGTTAGTTTTACCCTTTTATCAAACATTCCTGCTGTTATAATTTGAACAGCATTTGTTGTTTCTTAAACTTTTGACCTGTCCAAATACCCACACTTGCGGTCTTTGCACTTGACCATTTGATTACTTATTTGATGTATTTCCTGTATTTGGCCCAAGTGTTCAAGTAAGCACGAAGACCACAAGTGTTAAAAAGCAGTTGCAAATGATGTAGAAAATAAATATATACTTCAGTCATGAAACTCTAGATGGCGCATTCTGACGGGGGGTTAAAGTAACTGATGATATTCAGAGAGTTAAACGACTTGGTTCAAGCTGATTGGTTCATGCTGCATATGCAGCCAATGAGCTTACTGCCTTGCATTTATATGGCGGCTAGCATTCATTTCAGATTCCTGCAGCGTGCTTTCAGAGTTCTCTGAAACCCTCCACCTTCCCCAGCTCCACCTTTATAGATCTGCTACGGGTTATTTTATATGCTATTTGTGCAGCAGCAGTATGTCTTAAATACACACGGCACCGTATCGCTGTATGCATTGGCAGTAGCAAGTTCCTGTACTTACTTGCAGCAGCTGCAATAATCTACAACTACAGCAATAACCAACAGCAGCAGCAATTCAGCAGCAGCAGCGTAGTTCCACCAAGACAAAATACATTAACATTGTCATATCTATCACCATGCTAAAGTCTTCAGAGAGTTGTCATGATTGAAATATACTTATCTTTGCACCAATAAAACGTGCAACACTTTGTTTTACTACCATTTTATTCGTAATATCTAATAATTATTATTCATATTTAACTTACATTGGAAAGATTTCTGTGACCTCTCGCGAGATCTCGGCAAAAAGTCTCACGATTTATTCCAAAACATGATGCATGATGGGATACACTAAGCCTTGATTAGCGCTCCGGAGCGTTATTGGAGATAGTGTGGGTTTAGTGTGTGTTAAGGGCACTGCGCTTTGGCATTATTAAGACCTGGGACAGTCACGTACACGCGCTCTCAAGTGGCCAAGTCCTCAAGTGTGGGTATTTGGACAGGGTAAAGGTCTTAAAAATGCCCCATTAGTAAGAACCCTAAACACAGTATTACTTTTCTAAATTTCTAATGAATGTTTATTTGCAACTGTTAATCATTTTCAAACATTAACACCATGCAGGGTTAACCTTACAGTAGTGCTCAACAATGTCAGACTTTCACAATCCTTCATCACTTGAATTAAGATGATCACATTTGAACACATCCACCACAAAATCAGACTTTAGTCCTGCCTTTTACTTTGAGATTGATCTGAAGTTCAACGCAGAATTAAAATCATAAGAAATAGTTAAGATGAGAAATAGTTAAGAGATAAGAAATCTTTGCATAACTACAGGAAACACTGCATCTAACAATGCTTTGAAAAAAAAAATTGTTAATTAAAAAATTATAATAAATAAAAGCATATACATCAACTCAGATACGGTTATCTAATAAGCATGTGTCCTATTGTGTACTAAAAACTCCTGAAACATTGGTGTCTCTTTGTATATGATATGATGATAGTTTTCTCAAAATAAGTCAAATGCTCATGAAGTGACTCTAGAGCAGTTCTAGAGATTATGTTTATGTGTTCATGTACTCATATATTGAGACGGCAGAGGCTGAAAACACAGCAAGCTTCAGTAGGTCTATGTGTAGTAAATGAAAG